TGTACAGGGATTTCCTGAGCACCCAACCCAACCCAGGCATGGTCTCCACACGGTACAGTAGTGCTGGGTCCTCAGCTGTATGTTCATACCCCTGGGGGCAGGGAGCTGTATTAGCTTGTGGCCTCAAGAAACCCGCCTCCCAACCCCTGGCCACCCAGCCTACCTGGTCATTCCAGGCAGAGATGCAGTACAGGCTGTCATCCTCCTCCAGTAGGTGGATGGATTGGCTCAGGAAACTGAGAGAGCCAAGGTCCAAGAGTCGAGAAAGGGGCAAGGACAAACCCAGTCACGCAGTGAAGCTGGAAGAGCTGGGACTCAGGAGTCAACCCCCAAATCTCTGCTGTTTCCATTCATCCTTCTACCTTTTGCTCCAGCCCCAGCACCCACCATCCTGCCTCTGCTCAGGCTTTCTCCCATTTTGAGCTCACTTCCTCCAGAAAGCTCCCAAGACACCCTGCTGCTTTCTCTCCTAGAGACCCAGGGACCTCACCTGAAACCTAGAAACCTCCCTCACCTGAAAAAATCCACGGCAATGTCCAGGTCCTCTTCCAGGACCACAGCAAACTTGGCCTCCTATGAGAGGGGGACATCATGATCCTTGGGGGGCCTCTCCACCCTGTGGTCTCCTCCACCCATACCCCACTTCTTTCAGGTAGCCCTGCCCCTGTTTTCCAGATCAAGATGAGGCCCAGTGGAAGGAAGGGCTTGCTACATTACAGGACTAGACCTTATGCCCGTTTCCCCTCCCAAGGCCCAAGAGTTGTATCCTTGGTACTCACCGGAAACAGGTTGAATGTGGCAGTGAGGCTGGCCTTGTAGTGCTGGGAGGGAAGTGGGAATAGGGCATGTGAGCTCTGGGGTAGAGGGTGGGGCCAGGGGTCTGCCCCTTCCATCCTTGCCTAGGCCGTACCTGAGACACGCGGGCATTCTTGATGCTGATGGGAGTGTGCTGGATGCCCCTCAGACCGAACAGCGCCACCACATCCATCGGTTCCTGGGGGCATGCCCACCGGTCACCATGTGAGGCCACTTTCCCCTGACTACTTCTGCAGGACAAGCCCTTCCCCTTTCACAGCCCTTGCCAGTCCCCAGCAATCACTGCCACTGGAAATTAAGGTACTCAGTCACCCGCAGCCCTGTGCTGTGCTCTGCCCGAGGACCCCCAAGCCCCACTTACCTCATAGTAGCCGTCGATGAAAACTGTTATCATCTGGGGAGACACCCCCTGGGCTGAGAGCAGAGAGCGCAGCATCCTGGGGAGCCCAGGGATGGGTTAGGGCCTCTTTGTGCCCGCTACCTCAGGGCTCCCCTGTGTTTATAGAAGGGCCCAGATTCCCCGAGCTTATCCCTATAGGTGAATGGGCCTAGAATCTGTTGCCTTTCTGCCCACCTCAAGAGTTCCTCCTACAGGTAGATGAGTGAGGCACCCTCCCACTTGCTAAGCACCCTCCTGTTCAGTGCTGGGTACAGCCCACTCTCAGGCTCACCTGTACAGGTAATTGGGTCTGTTCCCTGCAATAACAGCCACGGGCACATTGAGGACTTTGTTGTCTGGGAGCTGTGAGAGAGACAGCTTTTAGCTCTTGCCTTATTCCTCTTTCCAATTGGGATCCCCACCAAGGGAAGAGTTCTTGGGAGGGGCTGGGGGCAAATCCAGAGTAGACCGGGACGGCGCAGAGGGTCTTCCCTCTTCTGACTTCTCTATAATCTCAGCCCAACGCCAATCCTGGGTCTTGTTCACATGGCCTGCCCCTTTCCCTCTACCCCCAGTATAAATACCCCTCAGTATAAATCCTCAGCTCCTGGTTCCTTCCCTAAGATAGGGAGAACCCAACCTGGAACTTTCCTGGGTTTCCCTTGCTAAGCCGGGAAGGAGTCCAAACCTTCCTGCCAAAGGCACCACTCACTGGGTCAGGGCTGAACTCGATGGGTGTGGGGTCCTTGCAGCTGCACACACTCCCATAGCCCTCAACTTTGCTGCAGAAGCGCCGGCGGCGACGGTTCAGCTCTGTGTCTGCCCAGTGGCACTCTGCCTCTGCGAGAGGACGGAGGCATGAGGTCAGTGTGGCTTGAAGAGCCCCCAGCACACAGTCAAGGGAATAAAGTCCCCATAAAGAGGCTCTAAATGTTGCTCCCCCACCCCCGCCCCTGGCTCAGGCTCAGCCCCAGAGACCAGGCCCCACGAACCCCACCTTCAGCTGAGCTCAGCGGCACATCTGTCTTCAACAGGACTGGGTCCCCCCAGGAAGAGAGGGCAGGTGACTTAGAATGTTTCTCCCCGAGGACA